AATTACTTTAGTGGAGTATAATAAAATTCAAATATAATTATATTGAAATATATATATATATACTCTCTCCATTCACAAATATAAAATATTTTTTAAAGAGTTTGATATTAAAAAATATAAAACACTTTTAGTCTTTCGAGATATAATTATTATCTTTTTTTAAAAGTACCCCTATTGATAATAACTATATGTTTATTATAAAGTATAATAGGGGTAAGTATGAAAATATAGGATTAATTTAAAAGTAGGTAACTTTTTTATTGAAGGGTAAATTTGGTTAAAAATACATTATAGTTTTAAACAAAGAGAGATAACTTACTTAATATCTTAAATTTTTTATCAAGTGTGGGCTTATAAAATTTATCTTCAGCTGTGATATGGAGGGAGTAGTGTTGGAGAAACTATCAGCTAAGGACCCTGGAGAAATTTTATATCAAATGAGGACTTTAAATTATGTTATTGCACTGAACTCATGATACATATGAAAATAAGTTTTTTATATAAAAAAGACTAAATTATCCTTTTATCTTCAGCTGTGATATGGAGGGAGTAGTGGTTGGAGAAACTATCAGCTAAGGACCCTGGAGAAATTTTATATCAAATGAGGACTTTAAAATTAGGTTATTGCACTGAACTTCATGATACGATATGAAAATAAGTTTTTTTATAAAAAAAGACTAAATTATCCTTAAATTTAAAATAATAACTTATTCAGGTTTTGACAACAACATAGTCAAAAATGAATAAGTTAAAAAACTAATAGGATAGGTTGAATTAAACAATGGTAACCGTATATAAACAAGTATTCACTTGGGTTTGGACAATAACCCATTCATAATTAACAACAACTCAATTAAAATGAACAAGTTGAAAAAATTGATAAAATAAGTTTGAATTGGACAAGTGTTTATCCTGCACAAATAAGCATTCATTTGCGTGTTGACAGCAACCCATTTGTAATTAATAATATCCATTTGAAAAAATGAATAAGTAAAGGAAAAAAATAGAATGATTAGGTCTTTTTTTCCATAAAAAACTTATTTTTAAATAAGCACCACAGGGTACAGTGTAATATCAAAATCTTAAGGGTATTAAGCTGATGTAAAATTTTTTCAGGATCTGCAGCTGATATTTTCCCTAGTATTTGTATGTTCTGTTAATTTATTTTTTTTTATTTCTATCTTTCTTTCTTTATTTTTCTTTTTGTTTTTTTTGGGCTCAATGACAGCCGCCTTCCTTCTTCTTACTTTCTTGGACCAATAATGACAACCCTTCCTAAGAAGCATGAAGGAGTTTTTAATTAGCATTACCTTGGTGTGGATCTAGTTTAATAGGAAAAAAAAAAAACAAATGATAAGCATTGACTTTCTTATCTTAAACAAATACGCGTTAAGCATCAATATTATCGACCTTCGTCTTTACATTATTTTTGGATGTGTATATTTTGTACGCCTCAAACTCTAAATTTATGCTACATTTAAAAAAAAAAACCAAAGAAAAGAAGAACAAACCTAGTAGGTTAACAAGAACGATAAAATAACATTGACGTATCAATGCCACACGTCTCTTTTGCTTTGGTCATGCAGGTTGATTTGCAGAAACAAAAAGTTTTAGCTACGCGAATTGCTCACTGTTTGAAGTATTAATGAAATGTACTCCTTCGATTCGCGAGAGAATTATTTTTTTTAATCTTATCTATAAGACATATTATTTTAATTTTTGTTTTATTGCAAGTGTGTTCTTTTATCCCAATAAATATTGAAAGTAAAAATATATTATTAAAATATATATGTATATTTAATAAAAGGTTGGAAACTTATTAACTTTTAAAAGAGTTAATAAATTTTAAGATTTTCATAAATTATGGTGAAACATATTATTAATGACTTGTAAATAGGATTGAAGAGAATGCACTATTTTTTTTATAATTTATTATGAATCTACGTGGTTTTCCTTATTATAAAGAATCTCTAATCACCTTATTGGAATAAAGAAAAATGATTAAGTTGTTAACTTTGTTTAGAAGTATAATAAATTTTTTATTTTATCCTGATTTAAATGGAAAATTTTAAATTTGTATTATATTTTTCTCTCATTATTGTTGATTTTAAATATAGATAATACCGAAGAAACATAATTAATATTTAAATTATAGGGTACTTTTAAAGAATTTTCTCCATCTCAAAATATAAAACATGTTAAATAAATTAAGATTTCATTAAATGAACTAATTTTAATATTATCTTTTCTTTCTCTATAATTAATTTTTATCTCTTCTCTTTTCAATATATTAAATTATGAATATTTTTAAAAATTTATATTTTTATTTTAAAAATTAAGGTTATTAAGTGTATTTAATGAAGTTTGTTGGTATGTAATATTTTGTCTAAAAGTGTTTTATAATTTAGGATGAAGGGAGTATAGGGTACTTTTAAAGAAGTTTCTCTGTCTCAAATATAAGACACTTTGGATAAATTAAAATTTCATTAAAATGCATCAATTTTAATATTACCCTTTCTCTCTCTATAATTAATTTTATCCCTTCACTTTTTAATATATTAAATGATGAATATTTTTTAAAGTTTATATTTTTATTTTAAAAAGATAAGATTATTTACTATATTTAATGAAGATTATTGATATGTAAAATTTTATCTGAAAATTTTATAATTTGAGACAAAGGGAAAGTATCATATTAAGTGACTTATAATAAATATTATTTATCCCTTATAGAACTGCCTTGAAATAAGGACATGAGATATTATACACACATACTTATAGTGCTTTTTTATAAGTTGCTTTCGTATAAATATAGATAATTAGTTTTTTTTCCAAATTTTCTCATTCACATTTTTCTTTATTAAAATGAAGCATAACAGGGTAATTTGAGTCTCTTTTTTTTTTTTTCAAAAACAACTAATTTAACTACATATCCTTGATTTTAATGAAATAGTTAGAGATGACTTACATATATAACCAGTAAGAGCATTGATTAATTTCTTTTCTTTTTTTTAACCCAAGATATCTTCACAGTTGACAATGATGATTAATCCTTTGAGAAATCTGAACATTATTTAAAGGGTTGTCTTCTTTTAAGAGATGCTTTCTCAAGTGCCACTTTAGGAATAAAAACCTGGAATGGTATTTAAGATCCCGGATACCAGTACTACACTTACTTGATAATATTGATTAATTTATTTAATGAGGGTGTGGTCAATAATTAAATCGGGTATTCTGTTCATGAACTGGTGATTTTTTCAACAGTGCAATAAATGTCTTCTATCGGCCTCCAAGCTCTTTATTGCAATATTAGGTTGTCACTACAGAGTCTTCCAATTAGTCATACCACGTACAATGAAGTTGGCTTTGAATGTTTATTGTCATAAATTCTATTTATAATTGTCATTAAAAATGTATTCCTTTATTTAGTACTCTTTTTGTTTTAAATTATAAGACTTTTTAGGAAAGATTGAACATCTAAAATATAAGACACTTTGATAAAAATAAGATTTCATTAATGATACTTTTTTCATTATTATCCTCCCATATATTCTATCTCTTTAATATTTTTTTTAAATGAAAGGGATTTTCAAAATTTATATTTTTTTTTGAAAAAGTAAGGTTGTAAAGTATATTTAATGAGTTTTATTGATCTATGAGATTTTGTCTAAAAATGTTTTATAATTTGAGACAAAGGGAGTATTATAAAGCAATTCTAACTAATCCAATTGAAATTAGTTAATAACATGTAAAACTATACATGTTTTACCCTTATTTAATATGATAGAGTATTTTAATTAAAAAAATCTTATTAATTATATCCTCTCATTGATGTTATTTAATTTTGAAAGAAAACTTATTAATTAAACTTTGATTGATCCAAAATGACTTATGTATTTTTAAACATAATACTTTTAGAAAAAGTCTTATAACACTGAACAAATATAATATACTCTATCATAGTAGTGGTAAAATGTATGGACATTTTTTTTAAATAAAAAATAAACCGTAATACATACCATATTATGAGTTAGGGCTTTTAATGTACTTTCCTCTTATACCCATTAAAATGTCTTTTAAAAAATTTTAGGGGCTGATTTCTTAGCCTGAGATTTTACAAATGGGGGAAGTACATATTTGAGGAGATAGATATATATATATATATATAGATATCATGCAGTTGTATTGGATGAGAACTATTAGCTATGTATATTTATTTAATTTATTCATATGGCATGAAGAGCTCAAATTGTTACTCAACGTGGTGTGGACAGCTAAAATATAATGGATGGGAATGTTTGAAGAAAAAGAATGATGTCAGCATGTGGGTTCAGTTGGGTTTGAATTTGTTAGATGAGTTAAGTCGACTAACTTAATAAATATTTACATAACACCATAACAATTTTTAATTTAATCAAATAGTTATAATAGATTTTATCATATATATAATACTCATAGAATATCAAAATTTAAATATATCTTGATAATTTTGAAATATTTATAAAGGTTAATATATAATTTAAATCTTAAATTATAGGTATAAAAGCAATTTAAATCCTAAATTTTGAAAATATATATTTTGAATCTTAAACAATTAAAATTAAACAGTTTATTTATACAATAACTTTCAACAAATGTGCATCAAATTAAGATTTAATGTATAATTTTCATCAAATTTTACTCGTCGTCTCTCTCCTACTCCATTTGCTGAAAATCACATGTTAAACCCCAATTTAACTGTCATTTGTTAAAGTTAATGATAGAAGCAAATTACATTCAATTTTAATTATTTAAAATTTGAAATACATCTTTTTAAAGTTTAGAATTCAAATCACCTCTAAACCTATAAGTCAGGATTTAAATTATATATTAACCCTATTTATTAACTTAGGAAATGCATATCTGAGTGGCTGAGTGGGAAGCTGTGTCGTGTGTGTGTCTATATTTATAAAGCCATAACTGTTACAAAAAGAAAAGACATCAAGAGAGATCAAGAAAGAAGAGAGAAATAAGAAAGAGAGAATGGGAATGAGAAGAGGGAGGGAGAATATTAATGGTGTGGCCATAACAATAATAATGATAACAGTGGTGGTGGTTGCAAATCAGATTGGTATTTGCAGCTCCTCCTCGTCGTCATCTTCGTCGTCGTCGTCGTCGGAGATTAACAGAGGAAGCTTTCCAAAGGACTTCGTCTTCGGCACTGCTTCTGCTTCTGCTTTCCAGGTTTGCTTCATACATAGGTGCTTTATATCTGAGTTGTGGGATTATTATATATTGCTTTAATTTCTCTCTTGGTGCATAAAAACAAAACATTGAAACGACAATAACTCTTCTTCTTCTTCCTTTTTGGGACGAATTGCTGGTAGCTTCGTCAATAATATGTCATTACGATTGTCACTAGGAGTTAATTCATGGCTTTCCCAGAAAGCCTTTGTTTTTGTTTTTCCCCGTCCAAGTGATAATGCATTGTCTTCTTCATGCATCTTGCTTATTTCATACTTTTTCCTTCCTATTTATTCACTTAGCTTGTCTTGATTTGAATTTTTTGTTTCTCCTCAATATATGTTCTGTTTTTAAAGAAATAATTATTACTTATTTTTTTTATATAATACACAAGTTAGATGGTGGGCATTCAATTGAGATAGTTAAGATTTAAAATATTATTGCGACGTTAATGGAGGGCAAGATTGAAAAAGAAAGAATAATTCTTGCATATTTTTTCTGTACTAATTTATAAGGTATTTTTAACTAAATTACATATCTTGATGAAGTTCATTGAATATTGTTTTCACCAAAATAAGTTTCAATCTTGATTTTTTTTATAATAAACTTTGAAAATATTCATTAATTAATAAGAGGAAGAGGGGGGGAATTTATTTAAGGAGTGAAATATGAGGAGTAATAATGAAATTATCATTATTAATTAAATCTAATTTTTATACATATTATATCTTAAGATACCAAATTACTTTGAAAAATGTCTTATAAAATGAGACTGCTTGAATAATATACGATTAAAATTGGCTTTCTTCTTTACAAGAAGAGCATATGAGAGATCTTTATAGATTTAGACCCTTAAATTAGATTTTGTAATTTAAATTTAATAAATTTTTTAATATATATATTTAATTTAAACGGTTCAAATTGTGAAGGGAAAAAGTAGTGAAAAGAAACCCCTGATACAATTACATAGATTTTGCTTTCTTATTTGTCTATACTATATTTTTATACGAGGGACAAATGAAAGTAAACAGGAGCAGATAATTATCAGTGACCATCAAAACGTGATTTCATTATAATGTTTTTATTTAAAAGAAAATCAGCTGACGAAGGTGTTGACATTGGACGAAAAAATTCAACCGTTGGCCCCCAAAAAAAAAAAAGGAACAGAAATTTCAACTGTATTTAATAACATTTATTGACAGGTAATTAATTAGTCTTCCTCCTTAAATTTTTGTATTTTCAAATAAAGAAAATTACATATCATAATATATATAAAAACATATTTTTATTATTGATATTAATAGTATTTGAATAATTATTTTATTTTTATTTTTTATTCGTTTTGGAAAAAATAAACTTAACTCAAACACTGGAAATTGGAAATATTTATGCTTATTATATATTAAATTTATGTATTTTTGTGTCAGATGATGTTACATAGTTTGTTAAATTTAAGAAATCCGTTATTATTACTCTTTTCGTTAAAAAATATAAGGTATTTTTTGAAGAGTTTGATGTTAAAAATGTAAGAATTTTTAGTCTTTCGAAATATAAATATTGTCTTTTTTTAAAAAAGTAACCCTATTAATGATGACTTTATATTTATTGTAAGATATTTAATAAGGATAAATATGAAAAGATAAAGTTAGTTTAAAAATAGGTAACTAATTTAACAGAGGTAAAATTTAATTAAAAATATCGTATATATATTTTTTAACAGAAAGAGTATATACTAATATTCCTCTAGGCTCTTATAAGATATCTTTTTTGAAAAAATTTATGGATTCATAATATAAAATATATAGTGCTTATTTTTACCAAGAAGACTTTCTTTCATGAAAAAGAATCAAGGTTTTACAATTTTTACTTTCTGTTAATTAATAAAGAAAAAAATGGAATCTTGGACTTTTTTAATAAATTTAATGATGTAATATTTTTTTAAAATACTAAAGCACACTTGGTTCAATTGGATGACAACTTGAATCATCTTATCTTGTGATCTCTAATTAAAGTCTTGAAATATTTAACCACGTTAAATAAATATATCAAAAGTATTCCAAGATTTTTTTAGGATATAAGCAACGGAATAAAAAATAATTTTTTAAAAAAAATACGTGGAATAGGTTTATCATATTAAGGGGTAATATTATTTAATACTTTTAATGTTACATACATACATTTATATATATATATATATAGGGAAAAACTTATATATTAAGATATTTATTTTCAATTAAATCAAGATATGTATATTTTTTTATATTATTTGTTTTATAAAAAATACTTATTGTTAATATTAATAACATAATAAAATTCAATCTCTTGATTTAATTAGATAAAAATTTATTAAGTTTATAAAACAAAGTACAATTCACCAAAAAAAAATTAAGTATGTAAGCCTTGCCTTTTGTTATAATAGTAAAAAAGAATAAATGAAATATAACTTACAGGTATTTTTAATTAGATACATGATGTAACAAACAAATGAGTACTTTCATAAAGGCAAAATAATTTTGTTTTTTTTAACACGAAAAGGAAATGATGTTTGATTTCTCTTAATAAGAGAAAGTGAATTTTGATAAAATTAGTTAATTATTTAATTAATTAACGATAATGGATGGACCTTGCACGCCATGTATATCAGAGATATCAGGACAAGTTGGTATGACTCGTGAATGCGTGTGATCTTGGGCTCTAAGATTTACAAATCAACGTAATCTTTAATTTTGGTGAAAAATTTTGCTTTTAATTAATAATAATAATAATAGTAATTATAATTGTAATAGTAGTAGCAGTAGTAATTTTTTTTAAAAAAAAAGTAATAGTAATAGTAATGTTAGTGTTAATTTTTCTGTGCAGTACGAAGGAGCAGTGAAAGAAGATGGAAGGGGACCCTCTGTGTGGGATAAATTTTCACATACTTTTGGTAAGACATTAAAATTAATTTTAGTTGCATCAAAGTATTTCTATTTGATTTGAAATAAAAGTGCAAAAGCAAACAAATTTCCCAAAAATAAAAATAAAAATTAGTTGGCTCATTAAGAAACTGTGATACATTTGGATGGTAATTCTCCTTAAACTGTGTCGCAGGCAAGGTTATAGACTTCAGCAATGCTGACATTGCAGTGGATCAATACCATCGCTACGAAGTAAGCAAACCAACCCAACTAGTATTGAATATATATATATATATATATATATATATATTCTCTCCATTCTTATATATAAAATTTGTTTAGAATCTGTTTTTTAAGTATAAAGAGTTGTTAGCATTTTTTTAATAAATAAACCATTATATTATTATTAAATTAAAAAAATATAAGTATTTTCATTAATTTGCTTTGAAAAAAATTTATTTTTTATTTACAACAATTAGAAGCAAAATTGGAATGCTGTTGTACTTTTAATTAAATAATCAAATTTTATTAATTTACGTGATTCAATTAAAAATATCTTATATATAAAGGTGAAGGGAGTAGATGGAGAGAGATAGACAAAATGATATTTTCTCTTCATCATAATATAAGATATTAGTAATTACTTCAATGTTCTAGATAAAAGTGAGTTCAAGCTTGAATCTCTTGAAAAATTTTATATTTTTCTAATTATGTTGTTATTAAATATTTTATATATTATTTTGTTTTCAATGTATTATTTTTTTAAAAATAATAAATAAAATATGGATATAATTAAAAAATAATTATAAAAATTATTGAATACTTTATATTTTGAACCAAACATAACTTTTAAAAAAAATTATTGTGCTGAGTAATTCATTGTTGAAGTTCTCATTGCATGATGGAAAACACATTTTGGGAATTGCTTTTACCAAAACCATATTTTGACTTCCCAAAACACAGCTCCCGACATTCACTCCTAGTCTAATTCCCTCCATATGGGCTTTGGTCATTATCTTAAAATTGATCAACTTTTTTAAATTTGTCCTTTACTAACTGGCCTCAAAGCTGAGCTCAAAAGTCTTTTTTTTTTATTTTTTTTATTTTTAAATTTTGTTTAACTTTTAAAAATTAATTTTTTGCATTATAATACTATATATTTATTTTTTTAAAATATAAATTGTAATGTTCAACAACTAAAATAAAGCTTTTACAAATATAACTTATGTTATAAAACTAAATCAGAATAATAGCCCAATATTTTTTATATTTTTCATCAAGGCCGATTTAATATTTGTTATTGTATATCAATGATATATAGATATATATCAATAATATCTGTGGATGTATATCAATATATAAATCAATCATACTCTTAAATTTTTAAAAATTTGATCCATATTTCTTGAGCAGCAGCTATATCCCAGCCTCTAATTAAAACAAGTGATGTGAATTCTAAATATCTCATTTTTTAGGGGTAAAAATAAATACAGGTTTAAACAAGAAGTTTGAGTCCTTCTTTTAGGATTTAAATGAGCCAAGTCTAGAAATCCTTTTATATAAAAATATCTCAATTTTCAAAACCTAAGCCCCAAAAAAAGACTGAAAAAGGTAATCTAATACGTCTGATCCATATTATCAGCACTATTTGAAAACACATCTTGAAAATTGCTTCTATCAAAACTATATTTTGACTTGCCAAAACGTGGTTGCAAACATTCACTTAATGTATGTACAGTCTAAATTAAACTCAGACCCTATATGTATTGTTTGTAGAGCTCGAGACTAAATGCCGCATTGTTCACAACTCTATATACATATATTAATTGATTATAATGATTTTTTTTAATTATGTGTAAACAGGAAGATATACAACTTATGAAGGACTTGGGGATGGATGCTTATAGGTTTTCAATTTCTTGGTCAAGGATTTTCCCCAGTAAGGTTTTTATTTCTTTGCATTTCTGTTGTTTTAACTTCTTTCATGTATGTATTATTTGTATCTAATTGCTTCAAGTATGAGATTGCTTAAAGACGAGATTTTTGGCTTCAAATACAGGACAATGATCTTGATTGACTTAAACTTAATATTTCTGACAATGACGAAATATATTTTTCTGATATATGACGTAGATGGATCTGGGGAAATCAATCAAGCAGGAATTGATCATTACAACAAATTCATAAATGCTTTATTAGCCAAAGGTAATGCTTTATTTTATTTTATTTTTTGTTGAGTGATTTTTAAGGGCATTTATATTGTTTGACTCAGTTCGTTCAGGTCTTTGGTTCTTTGGTGCTCTACCCAAATGAGGATTAATGAATATTTAGATTTAAATTTAAATTTAAATCAAATTCCTTATTTGATATGCAAAAATTTATGAATCAAATTTAAATTCAAATCCATTTTTATTACATTTTCTTTATAATTTTAAATTCACTTCACATCTTGGTCATTTGAAATTTGATTTATGAATTTGAATTTGATTTAAATTCAAATCCAATTTCAAACATCTCGTTTTCTTCGTATTTTTATTATTGATGCTTTTATGACTTTTGTATTTTTTTTTTATATCATGTCGTCTTTCATTGAATGATAAATAAAGGTAAACTCATCATTTCTAGTTTTTTGTTTTAGTTTTGAATCTCAACTTATCTATTTTCTTTATTTGAAAAGTTTTAAACTACTCAAATAAAAAATTTTAAATATATTAATTTTAAATGTGAGATTTAAAATTTAAAATTCAAATTAAATCCACAAATCCAAATAGTTACCTTAGGTAAATTAATCTTATTTTTTACAAAACTAGATTGAACCTCATACATTTTACAAGGATTTTAGAATTTAAACAAATGAGGAAAAAAATGAACTAGGATTAGGTAAACTCAACACATTTCACCCCATATAAACCTCAAGCCTTATGTTGGAAACAATAAGGTCTTGCTTGCTTCCTTGCTAGAATGAAATGAAACAGAATAGGTTGAAAAAATAAAAACAATAATAAGATTATCAAAATGTGGAGGGGGATAGGTGAATCATATACATAAGAGAGAAGAGTAATTTAATTCATGAAATTGTAAGTCATGATTCATAAGATTTTTAAAGGTACGATGATTTTCACATTTATGATATGTAATATTGAGTTTTATCATATTTATTATGAGAGAAAGGGGAAATTAGTTTATTTTTTTTAATTTATTCTATTCCTTTCTTTTCTAGCAACCAAACGGAACTTAAGTTCATTTTTTTTTTTTTGAACAATAAAATGATTGTAATTAATACTTCTAATTACCTGAACCATTATTGCATTATTTGTGCAGGAATTGAACCCTATGTGACCCTTTATCATTGGGATCTGCCCCAAGCCTTGGAAGACAAGTACAATGGATGGCTTAGCCCTGAAATCATGTACTAAACAACCTTATCATTTCAAAACATGTACTAATATATATATATATAATTGTATGTATGTATGTATGTATGTATGTATGCTCACATATGTTGTCTTCTATCTATGTTGCAGAAAGGACTTTGCAACTTATGCTGAGGCTTGCTTTCAGAACTTTGGGGACAGGGTTAAGCATTGGATCACATTCAATGAGCCTCATACTTTCGCCACGCAAGGATATGATGTCGGCCTCCAGGCCCCCGGCCGGTGCTCGATCCTCCTCCGCCTTTTTTGCCCGGCCGGCAACTCTGCTACCGAACCTTACATCGTTGGTCACAATGTTCTTCGCTCTCATGCAACCGTAGCAGACATCTATAGGAAAAAGTACAAGGTAAGGATAATGATATTTCATACCATCTTTTAGTCATGAAACAGTTTATGTGACATTGGAACAAAGTCCATTATTAGATCAATCAACATGACAAAATCAACTTGGTTATTTTCTAGGATGTACAACATGGATCAATTGGGATAGCTTTTGATGTAATTTGGTATGAGCCACAAACAAACACTAAAGAAGACATTGAAGCAGCTCAGAGAGCTCAAGATTTTCAGCTTGGCTGGCAAGTTATTAAAAAAACAACTAAATGAAGTTATAAAAACAACAACAACAACAAATTAAGATTTGGTTACAACACAGGTTTCTGGATCCATTGATGTTTGGAGATTATCCAAGCTCAATGAGAAGCAGAGTTGGAAGCAGATTGCCAGAATTTTCACCTACCGAGGCTGCTCTTGTTAAGGGTTCACTAGATTTTGTTGGAATTAACCATTACACCACCTTCTATGCAAGACAAAATTCTACAAACTTTCTTGGAGTTTTGCTCAATGACTCAATCGCAGACTCTGGCACTATTACTCTTCGTAAGTGCAACATTCAAACTTCATCATTATGACAGCATCAGAGCAGTGACAAACCCAGAAATTTTAGAATGTATGTGTGTAAATGTGTTGATTTGTTGTTGATGTTGTCTTTGATTTCAGCATTCAATGGAACTAAAGCTATTGGAGAAAGGGTAAGTAGTATGAAATTATGAAACTGAAGCATTTCTGGTCAGATAATTAATTAATGAGGAAGTGTTTGATAGTAATAACCTGTAAATTAAATTTTTTGAGTTACAGGCAAATTCTATATGGTTGTTTATAGTTCCAAGAGGAATGAGAAGCTTAATGAATTACATCAAGCAAAAGTATGGGAATCCTCCAGTTATTATCACTGAAAATGGTAATTTTTCTATCTCTTCCCACCAAAATAAACTCTGACACTCAATTGTATTCTGTTTCCGATCTTTATTATAAGGTACTTCATACGGATTTAAACATATCATCATCACTGCTGATATGGTTATTGGCACAGGAATGGATGATCCAAATAATGTATTTATCCCCATTGAGGATGCTCTCAAGGATAAGAAAAGGATCAGATACTACAGTGGTTATCTATCTAGCTTATTGGATTCAATCAAGTACGTCATTTTAATTTTAATTTGTTTAACAGTTTAGTGTTTCAAATGCATCTGAAACAAAGTTTGAAATCTCTTCTCCAACCATGTTGCCACTTCCATTGAAAAAGAAAGGTAGGGGGAAACGATACTTACAGACCATGGAACAATTTTAAACACCAGGAGAGACCGCTTAATTTTATTTTTAAAAAAATAGATTTGAAACCATGGGAATTTTAAAAAATAACATCTAGGGACCTGAAATTTCGCTAGCTAGTCTTAAAAATTGAGAAAATCACTTTTAATCCTACACCAAAAATCTAAATATAAAAAAATCTCATAAAATCAAAAAATTATTATGAAATTTCATGCGATTTAGTAAAGTTGTCATTTTATTATATTGAAATTGTCAATTACCCAATAAAGTTGTTCAGTTGACAACTAACCAGCAAATAATAATAATTAACAATCACAGTATCACACACGCACACAATAGTAATTGAAAACCTTTTGCGAAAAAAAAGTAATTGACAACTTCAATAAAGAATATGAGTCTATAGAATAAATTCGTGATTTTATAGAATTTTTATATATTTAAATTGTGATTTTTCCCAAGTCTAATGCACATATGCTTCATAGTTACAACCTAGAGTATTGTCTATGAAATGGATGACTGAGATTTTGGATTAGACAAGATTGAAACTTCTTAAACTATATAAAATTCATATCAATCTTTTTTTTTTTTTTGGAGCAATAGATCAATCTATTTATCTCTATTTTCTCGAGCCATGTGGTTAGAAAGAGTCTTACCCCATATAAAATCTTCATAAGAGATGTATCCATACTTAATACTTAACAGTATCTCAAATAAAATTATCTTTAATAAAAAAACCTGTGCATAATTTAAAAATAAAAAGAAAAGCAAAGCAAATGAAAAAGTAATTTGTTCTTTTTTTTTTATGAATATTGCAGTAAAGATGGGTGCAATGTAAAAGGATATTTTGCATGGTCATTATTGGATAACTGGGAATGGGCAGCTGGATACACATCAAGATTTGGTCTCTACTTTGTTGATTACAGAGACAATCTTAAGAGATACCCCAAACAATCTGTTCAATGGTTCAAGAACTTCCTCAATCATTCCACCAATTGAATATATTTCAATTTTATATTTTTTATTTTACTGTTGAATTTCTTTGTTAAAGGAATTGTATTGTTGAATACTTGAATTTTACTTCCATTAAATAGTGTGGAACTGTGAATTTTATGTTTTATGTTGATCTTTTTATTTTATTTTACTTCTGGTAAAATTGATCTTTTCATACGTACGGCTCAGGCCCAACAAAAAATGTTTGAGGCTCGCTTTAAACCACGGTCCCAATGATACAAAGTATCTTAATATTTGAAACAATTACATATGGGTCATGCGAAGCAAACTTATTTACCCATGAGTCCTATAAAATTTAAAAGCCACAATTAGATCCCTTAAAACTTGAGTGTAAATTAAAATTAGGCTGTAAAGATAATAATACCCTCATTAAACATATATTATATCAATCAAATAATTAATTTATGATTACTTTATTTGTAATTTACAACTATAATTTTAACTTTTTATAATTGTAACTTCGCATATTTAATAATTAAATAATTATGTGTTATTAACAAAATTTAATATTAATTATTTATAATTACTTTATCAATGATTACAATTATAACTTTAAATTTCTATAACTGTAACTTCATATATTCAATAGTTAAACTAATCAATTTAATTATTGGATATATAAAATTATAATTATAAAAAGTTAAAGTTATAGTTTTAAAATATTGATAAAACAGTTGTAAGTTATTTGGCTAATGTACTGTAAATATATTTAATAGAGGCATTATTATGTTTTTATCTCAATTATAAATTAAACCTAGGTCTTAGAGGATCTAATTGTGATTGTTAAATTTTATGAGGTTTAATTTTAAATAAATTTATTCTATAGAACATATATATTTTTTTTTCTTAATATTTTTGGACCAAAACTTGTAGGCGAAATTGAATTCTCTGTTGTTGTTTTTTTGTTGCCAAAAGTGAAATTGAATTCTCCAACTGAGAGATTTTGCAAGAGATTGATTTCAAAAGATGGTTTGTTTTAATTTATTTCATAAAAAAATTAATTTTTAAAAAATATTTATTTTATGAGTTTTTATTATATTTATTTAAATTTTTAAAACTAATCAGAGTTTAAAAAAAGCATATTTTTATTATTTTTAAAAATTATTTTAAGTAACTTTTAAAAATAATCTAATGTGATATATGTGAAAAAGTGTTTTAAAAAAATGAAATACATGAATATATCATTAAATTTTAAAATAATATAATAATAAATTATTTTTATAAAAAAAAATAAAGAAAGACATAATTAAATTTAAGAATAACTATCTACTCATCACTTTGTTATTATTATATTTTATGTTGATTATTTTATTTTATTTTATTTTATTTTTTAGTAAAGTTGACCTTTTTATGTGTAAGGCTCAGATCCAACAAAAAAATGTTTGAGGCTCTCTTTAAACTATGGGCCCAATGAAACAAAGCATGTTAGAGTTTTTGAACCAAAAATTGTAAGCGAAATTGAATTCTCTCTCTTTTTTGGGGCCGATAGAGAAATTGATTTCTCAAAATCGGAGATTTTGGCAAGATATTGATTTCAAGAGATGAAATTTATTTTTACTTTTTTATATCCTCATATTTTTTTTACTGTATTATATATTTATGTCAATTAATATATGATTTTAAAATTTAGTCCCAATTTATAAATTTTAAAAAGCCTCGACTAATTTGTAATTGATCCTTAAGTGGACAGAGGGAGACATAAAAAGCAATAATTTCGAAAGTGAACTTATTATTGAATTGATAAAAGTACTAACTCTAGTTGATGTGAGTGGTTTAAGTATTTGTATCACTTAAACAAATTATTAAAAATTATACGAGTACCAACTTATATATGATGTGATAAAAGTAAACTTACTATTAGCGTCAAATAATTTAGTCATAATCAAATTAATTAATCTATTTAAATTATATGCTAACTATTTTAAATTGACAATACCAAAAATAATAACGAAAATATAAACAATTGGTTTTGAATAAACAATAAATTTTTAAAAAAATTGAGGTAAGTAAAGATGAGTAGTCTATAAGCATAATTTCATAAAGCGAAGCATATTTTATAATTTAAAAAATAAAATAATTATGAGACGTGATCAAGTTAGGAATAGGATTAACCGATTTTCTAAACAATGGACGTAGGTGACATTTTTAAGTCAGAGAGATAATTAACATTTCAACAACTTAGTGAGTCATTTCTAAAGTTGACTTTGACTTTAAAAAAAAAAATCACATCACATGTTAGGCATCAGTGCGACCTAGTTCATATTACAACGATTTGGAAAGCTTAAATTAAACTATAACATCAAGTTACGCCGCAAGTAATGCATAATTAGGCTTCTTAGATTTTTCTAATTCGAACAATTTTTTATTTATTTATGTTGATTTTGGTGTTACCAAACAAAAGAAGAAAAAAAGACAAAGAAAAGAAAAGAAAAGAAAAGTAAGTTGGTGGCTTGACTAAAAATTATAAGGAAAAAAAGGCCACGTGGGATTCCAAATTCTGGTGAATCAATCATAATTAGACACAACACAAGCAAAGCTAGCTCCTTGAAATTGAAAATGAATAGAATGAGAATGTATAGCAACGTTGGAAGAATATCCCACAAGCAAGTTCATCATTCCAACATTTTGAATGGAAAAACAATATACTCTTCTGTATATAAGATAGAGAGAAAAAAATAATTAATTTTAATTCTATTTATAAAGTACTGTTTTTTATGTTCATTTTTATTTTTTTACCCTTATTAAATATTAAAAATAATTCTTTTATCCTTATTATTGGGTAGAGATGGAAACATATTAAATTTTAAGATAAAATTAATGAGGTTTAAGATTTTTATTAATTTTAATAAATATTAAAAATAACTTACAAATAAGACAAGAGAAAGTATAATATCACACTCATGCATGTTTCATTTATAAGGCACTTCTAATTGTTTCATTAGGATCAAGTAAAGATGGTGAGGTTAGTAATTTTCTCTCCGAATAGAATGAATTTTTTAATTTTATCCACCGTATTTACAATGCATTTTCTCTTATAATTAATGATTGTAAATAAATGTAATATTAGAAAAAAATTAATTAATACTCTATTAAGTAGCTTATAATAAAGATCATCTATATTTTCTAGAAAGTGCTTAATAATATAATATTTAGAGAAGTATTTTGATTACTTGATTCGATAGTGCTTAAATCAAAATTCATCAAAGATACAAACTATAGATGCTTGAATATTGATAATAATATTAGGTCAAACCTTGTCAATGAACAAATTGAATAGGTTAAGGCTTAACAATTAATAATCTATCGATAATGAATTTAGAGAGAATTAGGAGTTATAGCCACTTAAATATAAAACTTTGAATTTGAGATTGTGTGAATGTTAAAAATCTATTTTAAAGAGAGCTATTCCCATTTGAGGCCTAGCAATACTTGATATAATTGTACAAAATATTAGACACTACATAAATAAGAAAGAATATTGATGAAGGACCTTCAAAATGATTTAATATCAAGCAAGAACTTGTAACGAGTAATTAAATATTAACAATTGATAAATGAAAGTTTAAGTTTTGACAAGTATCCAATCTATCTAAATTTTTGTATGATAGTAAACCATTTTAGTAGTCCTCGTTGATATTCTTTCTACAAACAATTAATTTAGATTAATCATTGTACTATACATTAAATAATTGCTAAAAAACACAAGAGAAAAGGGGTTAAAGGGTCATTTATCCCCTGAACTTTAAGTTCAAAAACACCTAAGATTCTAAACTAGCTTTTTTAGAATGTTTTCTTTTAACTTTTAAAAATAGTACAACGTCATCCCTATAATTAGTAAAAGTTAATTTTAAAATTTAGTTAATTAAAAAAAAGCCAATATGAAAAAGGGTCTTAAAAATTATAGAAAAGAATTAAAATTTTTTTTAGTCATTTGTTATAATTTTTATGTCCTTGTTTATAATTTTTGTGCTATTATTGTTTTTTTAAGTAATATTTGAGGTATTTTTTTATTATTTTCTTATTAACTAATGATCAAAATGAGCTTTTATTAATGATAAAGATAACACTGTTCTGTTTTAAAAAATTAGAGAGAAAAATTGTATTAAAAATAAATTTAAACTTCCCATCTTCTTGAATCAATAATTTAGGGAACAAGCATGAAAACGAAAGCGAAATGTCTTGTCAGGTAAGATTTCTCATCTGAGGCTATAACTGCTTTCCCATTTGTTGAAGTCATTGACCTTAATTATTCATAACGATCATAACCAAATGCTTTTGTTCTAACTATCAAGTCTCAACATTTGTCCAACATCACATGTTCCAAAAACTAACATATTTACGTGTTCACCTTTCTTTAATTCTTGGCATCTGATTCCTAAATCTTGTCTCTCTTTTCTTCTTCCATTTAGGTTAGGACATACCTAACCTAATTCCTCTTTTTAAAACCTGTAAATTCTAACATAATTAATTGAAATTGAATTTTCATGCTTTAAATTATTTCTTCTAGATTCCCACACACATTTTTAATTTCGTGACACGAAAAAAAGAAAGATTCCCTGTACATTCTAGGGGGTGTGCAATCTTGCTCCATATTTAACTTGAACATCTAAATCTTTTTTAAAAAAAAATTGAAAATTTAATTATTGTTTATTTTAAGTGAACAAAAAATATGAAAAGAACAATATTTGCCAATCATATATGAGATGTAATTAATATCATTCGAAACTATTAAAAAAATATAAACAAAATTGGAGCATACCATCCAATGGTTGTTTTGTTCTTGTAATATTGATCTTGATGTTGATCGATAAACATTTTCAACATATTTTAATATAGTGCGCCTTGTTATGATAATTTATGTTGACTTTGAAATTATGGAGTTTTGATTAAAAAGTGAATTCTTAACCACAAAGCTAGTTTCGATTCCTTGCCAGAAAAGGCATATGCATTATTATTATTATTATTACTATTATTATTATTATTATTATTATTATTATTCATCACATCTTTACTTGACTTTGTAATTAATTAATTAATTTAAACATCCATATTTTCATTTTTGATGATAAGTTCTCCGGCCTCTTATATAAGGTATTATTCCAAA